AATTATACTGAATTTCCTAGTATCTTGATTGAATTGTACAAATCAAAATTGATGTATGAATATCGAATAACAATTTGCATTTGATAAGAAGTAATAAAAAACTAAATCATCAGAAATGAAATTTACAAAAGTATTATTTTACTAGGATATGAATTAGTTGGGGATTACTTAGAATTATTTTATTTCTCTGATAATTTGATTGAAATGTGCCAAAATCAAAATTGATTAAACCTAATAGTAATTGCATTTCATAATAAAATTCAACAATACCTTGCATAGTGCGGTTTCGAATAGTCCGGATTTACTATAGTCCAGTTTGAAATTAAAAATAAAAACATTTAAATGATCGGTTTTATAGAGTAAAAGTCCTCGGTTAGTCTGGTTTCAGACAGTCCGGATTATTGAACTATGCGTGTTATTTGTTTGGGAATTATTATTCAAAGACAATCTGCATTTGCATTCGAATCAAAAAGTTAACAAAACACTACATCATTAAAACTAATATAATTTTGCTCTAGATGTGAATGGAAATTTAGTAGAGTATTGTTTCCAGTACTTGTATACTACAAACTCGATGGGAAAACTGGGAATTATCCTGGATTTCTCCGGCCATTACGTAGACACTTAATCCTCAGATGGAAACAAACTGTTGATTCACGAAGAGATACCGAAACTTGTATATGCACCAATGACATTACTTGTAAATACTCGTAACTCCGAATAGATATATTTATACTAGTGTTCGCGTTCCTTATCCTTCGCTTTCGATATACTTACAGCAAGTAGCCTCGAGCTTGTTAATTTGCGAACGAAGATTGTGTTCTATAAAACCTCCACCGAAATTTATTGCTAATAAACTGAAGCATAATTTACGATTATGCTAAGACGAGCTCTTACTTTAATTCGTAGTTTATAAAACCAACAAAAAAAAAGAGTAATTCTTCAGCAATGTTTATTGGTGTTATATTTAACTGTGATATATAATTAGCGTTTGATGTATGGCCGGGAAAGTCGAAAGAGGCGTTCCGACATTCCTTAATTAAACTCCATGGGGTGCCGTAAAGTTACATAATTTTTATGGTCTACCCGTCTCGTGAGTGTCATTAACTTTGTCTCAGATCTAAACAACACTTCGAATCGATATTTCCCTTTGAATTTCACATTTTTCTTTTGTCAATATACAACTTCTTTCTTTTCAACACTAATTATGTAAGATATAATTCACACCAAATTCATTTTCAATTTACTAATGTAAATGTACAAAAAATCCGTTATAATCAAACACTGTTCCACGTGTCGATTGAAATAGAGTGTAGATGATGAGATTATAATTACTTATTTGTAAATTGTTGTTTTTGTTTTATAAACACGCTTCCAACTTTTTCTCATATTTGCTGATGATTCAAACGTCTATTGATTCTTGAGTAAATGCAGCAAATTTCTCTCCAAATCCCAAGAGAATGTTCAGCTTCGGTTATTTATAAATGATGGTTGAGGAATATATAGCGTAATGCATTCTATATCTGTATAAAAGTTTCCGTCTTGAGGTGTTTTATGGTAATCATATTTTATACCTGAGCTCTGTCTATTTTATATGACACGGAATATGACGTCGGATTATTATCCTACTAAATAAATGTATGAAGGAATTTTAATGTTAACTCGAAGATATTAGATTCCTATTACTGTTCTAACAGAAACTACTATAATCTTAGATTAAAGTGTAGATTTACATCTGCTATTACCGTAACTGACTATATTTTAATGATAGCTCAAGAAGTTATATAATTTACAAAAAAAATAGTACAGTAATACATCACATACTATGGCTTCATTCAGTCCGGATTCTCACTACATCCAAATTTGTAAATGTATACAGTCAAGTATATTTATGTGAGTATTTCGTTTCTCGATTAGTCCGTAACATAAAATTATTCGAATTGAGTTTAAGAAATGTGTAACTTATATTAAAAGTTTCAATAAAATTATATAATAATAAACTTGTACTTAAGTTTTTCTGCATTTTGGGTAGATACAAATTAAGTAACAATTTTCAACGAATGCATATTTAATTATCCAAAAAGTACTAATGATTAATTGAGAAATCCTAGTCTATTACGACCCTGCCTTTAATAAGTGATTAAATACAATTACTGTAATTAATACAACTATATCAATGTTTCAGATTTCAATGAAAAACATACATTTTTAGAATAAAATACAATCTTTTTTTTTGTTTACTTTCATTATTAATGATGATGATAATAATGTTCTGTTTTAATTGAATATGTGGTTTATTATTGTGTTTTATTCAAGTTATGATTCGATATACATCTTACACAAATTACTTTTATTTCACCAAAAATCTAAATAAATTTTATTTTATTTTGAACAAATCTTAATCATAGCGTTTCAATTATGAAAAACGTTTAATTCCAATTGAGATAGTTAGGGCAAGTTTCAAAGAAAGTGTATAGTTTTTTGTAGTTTCTTTCGTTAAGAAAAACGTTAATTCTTATTTGTGTTTTTTTCGAGATCGTTAATAATGAGATCAGTACATTTTATGATATGATACTGTAGCTAACTTAAAAGACAAATCCAATAAAGTGATATAACTTTAGTAAATTATTGGAATAATGTGAAAACAATTATGTCTATTCATTATTTAACTGATTAACGTTCGAGTTTTGAGCAAAATACTTTTTTTTTTTTTCAATTAATTAAAATTAATTATTTTGAAAAATATATTCCTTTATTTGTTTATTAACATGAAATATATGTATATATTTTCGGTGACAATCGCAAGCCCGACAACCGAAATCCTGACTACCATCTATATCGAAATTCTGACAGTTTCTATTATTATTATATTTCTACAATAACATTTTTATGGTAGTCGGGATTTCGATATAGTCGGGATTTTGATTGTCGGGATTTCAAGCGTCTGCACTTTAATACAGTCGGGATTTCGAACGTCGGTATTTCAATAGACGGTCTTTCGATTGTCGGGCTTGTGATATGTATTTTCACTGTATTTGGACTTTAATATTAGTTTGCCTTCTTCATTAAGAGATGTTTTCAATAAATTCATAAAACAGTTTATTTTTATGATTATCTAGTTTTATTTTATTCACTATTTCATTCATTAAAAAATAAGATGTGCTGTATTTATGTTAAAAGTTCAAAATATATAGTCTTAATTATTCAAATTTAGTTTAGATGTTGGATATAACAAAGTTCTTATATTATAAAAAAAACTTGATTAGTTTTGATTGGCAATGATGAAGTGGTCGTCTTTAGGATGAGAGCGTTTAATGCTTGTCGTGATATTAGTGATGGTATTACGAGAGCGTCAGTAATTGGGGGATTTGGGTATTTTGCTGGGAAGTTATGAATTGGTAAGGTAAATAGCTCGTGCGTGTTACGTGTGGATGTGAGGTAGATTTTAGCATATAGCGAGGATGAGAGAGAGAGATGTTGCACAATTTGAGAATTAGAGGTTTTGCGGATTAGAATCGGGGGGTCTCTGGGAGATCTGGTCTGGTCCGGCCGCTGTGGCTGCGGCTGAGGCGCAGGTCAGGACGACGCCAGAGTTCACCGGGAAGAGCGAGGGAGGCGCATCGACGGCGACGGCGTCGGTGTCCTCAGTATGTATATGACCGTCGCGACGCCGTCTGCCGTCTGCGAACGAGCTTTATTCGCGATGACACATGCTCATCATGCTCAATTACCATCTCACATGTGCCGTTCGAGCACATCCACAATTCACACTCGCATAAATCCATCGCTGCTCCGTGACGCACCCGACGCGACGTGTGACATACCACCACCACCATCACCAACCCATCAGATGGTCATTGTTGTTGTTCCTGTTGTTCATATTGTTGTTGTTGATTAGAGAGTTCGTACAGTCGTCGCGTTCTCGAACTGCAAAAGTGCCAAATATAAAAAAAAAGTTGTTAATAGTTTTGGATAGTCTTCGCGAGGAATGAGATTATAGTTATTTACTAAAACAGTTATTAAGTGCGGTTTCCAAAAAACACAAAAGAAACAAAGGGTCGTTAAGTTTGCAAGTACACATCCAAAAGTAGTTAAAACAAAACCTTCATCTTCACAATCTAAATAAAATTAAAATTCTACAAGTGTCGAATAGAAACTACTAATAATTTTAATAATAGACACAGCAGTGGTTCTCATCGTGACGGATCATTTGAATCCATCCTTGAGTTCAAGGCACTTTTAGAGAACAAAAAAAAAGAAGAAGCATGTGATGCGCCAGACAAAGCTGAAATTTCCTCTGTTCACCACCATTTCTTTCAACCAGATGACTCATTACCGCAGCAGCTTCGGATTACTTACTCTTTCCTTCACGAGCATTAACATTTAATTCTATCCACGCGTTCACCCTCGAATATCATTTAAAAGAAAAACCTCAAGACAAAGAGGATAAAAGATAGCTCCTTTTACGTGCGCGAAAGAGCGTAATATTTGAAAATCGATTTCAGCTTTCGCACGGTTCACTATTACCAAAAAGAAAAAGAAACACACACACACACAATATAAATATATATAAAATAATGTAACGTATTCTTCTAATACTTTATACGAACACGCCCGATCGATACAAATATATTAAAGAAGAAGAAGAAAAAAAGAAGTTTTCGCTTTATTTTTCGCGTTCGGAAAGTTTCTCGTGTCGTGGAATTCTCCCAGTCGTGTATTCTACCCCATCTGGAGTAGTTCCAATAATTCCAATTAGACAAAAAAAAGAAATAAATAAAACTTTTAAGCAACGTTAAAAGTTTTATTTTCGTTGTTGTACCAACACAATCTTCTAATTTCTTTTATTTTTTTTTTATTTATCTCAAAAGCTGACGTGATATTGTACAAAGAAAGTGTTAAAACTTGATATATTTATTTAGATGAGTTCGTTCGTTGTTGTTGAATTGAAAGTTGACTGGTACTGTTAAGTTTGGATTTAAATATATTAATATATAAAAAATATATATATTGGAAACTTTTTTTTGTTGTGAAATGATGGAGAGTTTGGAGGAAGTGGCCGATAGGGCAGAGGCGGAAAGGCAACAGAGTTTGAAGGATCTCGAACAGCTGTACGAGTGGCTGCAGCAATTCGAGGATCCGCCGCCAGCTCCGAGACCGCCGCCGCCTCAACAGTTCAGAAATGGTAAAGAAAAGATAAACTTGCAGATCAAGAATTTCGTCTTTGTATATTATTAAGTGTGTCTTTTTCTCGTGATGTTAATCTAGGTGTAATGAATGGTATAAATTCAAAGTGTTTTATGTTACTAATAAAACGATTCTCAATTCGTATTATTAAAATTTAGTTTTGAAACAAACATTGAGTAACAATTTATTATTTATATCTAAAAAATGTTAGAATAAAATTAATTACCTTGTCTAAGATTTGTAGAAACAATGTTAAAAAGTAATAATAGAATTTAATGCAAAAATTATACAACTTTACCTATAATTATAGAAACGAAAAAAAATGTTGTAATTTCTGAAGAAAATCCAAGAAAAATTGGTTTTGGTTAAATATTTTCTTTCATTAACTCAAGTATTAAGTTGTTAAATAAGTATAAATATAATATATTAAAATTGTATAAACGAACAATTTATTGTTATACAATAAATTTAATTACTGATATTTTTTTAATGAAGAATTAACTTTAGTAATTAGAATTATCAAAAGTAATTAGTTGAAATTAATTATTAATTTTAATGTAATTTTTAATAAAAACTATAAATTTGAATGAAACTTGCATATTTATGCATTAATTGATTTTTTTTATCTCCTGAATTAAAAAGTTTTTATAATTGTGTCAATGTAAATTATTTTCGATTTTTTATAAAATTAATTTTACTTTAATACCAAATTCTATTAGTAAAATCAATTTAAGTATAATTAATTAATTTGATAAAAAAAAATATGTATAAACAATTATTTACAAAAATGTATTGATTTTTCTCGACCAAAAAGCTATAATTTGAAAAACATGTTTGAACTAAATTTGTTACGATAAAATGATACTCCCATATTCTAAATTAAAACAAATATTTGCATTACGTATCTATTATTTCCAACTACGTTAATGAAAATTTGTATATGTAAACTACATATTTGTTAAAAACGAACATGTTCGAATGGCGTTTATTGATCGATTCACTAGTGTTATTTTCTTGTATGAAATAAATTTCACAATTGAATAATAACCAATTCTGTTATTTCCCATCCATTTCAATTTTATAGAATTATATAAATATGTAAATATGATTTAAAAAAAAAAACGAAGGTTTATTGTGTAAGGATTATTTTCAAATGGGTGTGGAATTGTATGTAGTATTCATTTTTCATATTAAAAAAATCTTTTTAAATGGTAGCAATAATCGATTTTTAACAATTATGTTTTTAGCATCAATTGAAGTACAGTGGAACCTCGCTTAACGAGCGACGTTTTGCATAACGAGTGATGATGAGGAGAGAAGTCCCGGATTGCGCGTCTGCTACGTCATTTTTAAAACTTGTGTACACATATTATGTGTATTTTTGAATATGTTCACTATACGAGTAAAAATCCGGAAATTTTGGAACGGAGTAAAGTCGTTAAGCGATTAAATTAAAAACGTATAATTATGTACATCGCATAGTGCGGGTAATCGGACTAATCGAGGATTTAGTAAATAATACAATTATTTAAGTATAAAAAATAATTTGTACACTAAATTTTTGGAATTCATTATGATCAATTAATCTGCTGACTTCATGTTAAATTCTGAAAAAAAAATGAAACATCGTAGGTGCACAAATTGTATTAAATTACTTCTAGGAAATTTTATCATAACTTTCGTTAAAGTATTTATTCTAGATGTTTTTTTTATTACGTTTCATTCCAAAATTAATTGTGGAAACAGATATGAAGTAACCAAAATCCGCTGCATATAAATGTAACTAAATATTTAATTTTCTTGTGCACAATGAGTAACATAATATTCGTCCGTGTTAATTAAAATTGCATAAAATTGTTAACCGGATAATATTGCAAAGAAATCCGAGCGGGATTCTGTTTTCATTAACGCAAAAAAAAGTTAATTTTAAATTTAACTAAATATAATACAAAATGTTTAAAGAAAAAACTGATTGTTCACTGCTGTAATTATCAAATACTAGAATAACTCGCATAGTGCGGATAAGCGATTCCATCATTATCTCGGACTATTGAAAACCTGAAATTTTATTCTTTTCTAAATTAATTGAAACTAAATGTTATAAAAAATATAATAATAAGGCGGAATTAGTTAATAGTAATTTCCAATTGTTATAATAATAAAATTTATTTAGTTGAGATTGAATCATGACTAAATGTGTTAATTAAGTAGTTTTGTTAATATTGAAGATGCAAAGAGCAGACGACATTCGTGTAAAGAGATAAATGATATCTTGTACATCTACAACAATATATCTTTATTAATTAGCCTCGGCGATTGCATAAGTAGATACTATAAATAGTGCCGTTTGTCACGTGGAGTGGTAACAGATTGAGATGTTTGTTAATGACGAAGGACTATCTTCAAACTAAATCTTTGACAACCTAACCGATGATTATCTACAAGATTTCTTATGCAGTCTTCCATATCAACTAACAGCAAGTTGTGTTTAGATGATTGTATTTTGTATTAACAAAATTCATTTAAAAACATAATTTTAAAGAAAAAAAAATTGATTACTTTATTTTTATGTATCATACTTCGTCTGGAGTCGATTGGTTTATCGTTGTTTCAGAGTTAAGCAAGAAACATACAATTATTCCTTGCATGGGTGACCGAGACAAATATAATTAATGCACAATTATTATTAAATACATTCAATATTGTGGTTATAAAATACATAATTTCACTTTTGTTTTACAGTTAAACAAAACGAAATTTGGATGGGTGACCGAGACAAATAGAATTTTTATGTTACTTAGTGCACATTTTTACAAGCACTAGTATTATCAAACACATTGAATATAATGAGTAAAAAAACTTATTTTTTACAGTTGTTTCATAGTTAAGCAAGAAAAACTATTAGCTGTTGGATGGGTGACCGAGACAAATAGAATTGATATGTAACTTAGTGAACATTTTTACAAACATTAGTATTGTTGGTAAAAAAAAATATATTATTTTTACTGTTGTTTCACAGTTAAGCAAGAAAAATACTATTTGTCGAAAAGATGGGTGACCGAGACAAATATATTGTATGCAACTTAATGAACAATTATATAAACACTATTATTATTAAAAACATATTGTGGGTAAAAAATACATATTTTCACTGTTGTTTTACAGTTAAGCAAAATAAATACCAGTAATTTTTGGATGGGTGATCAGTACAAATATAATACATGTGTATGTAACTTTGTACACATTTTTACAAACACTAGTATCATTAAAGACATTGAATATAATGAGTTAAAAAAACTTATTTTTTACAGTTGTATCACAGTTAAGCAAGAAAAAACTATTAGTTCCTGGATGGGTGATCGAACCAAATAGAATTGATATGCAACTTACTGCTCATTAATACAAGGACTATTATTACTAAATGCATTAAGTATTGTGGATAATGAATAAAAATGTTGAACAATGATTACTTTATCATTCAATTACATGAATATTACAATTGTCAACACGTTTGTTCATTTGTATTTCTGTCCACAGGGACACAGATGAAACACACGATGTTTTATTAATATTCTGTTCATTATTATTCTCCTTTTTTTACATAAAACCAACCGGTTATTCTCTTTATGTATCAAAGCTTTGTCCAATTAATTACAAACGATGTCATCTCATGCGTCAAACGCAAAACGCACATTGTTTTTATATGTAATGGTATAAAAACACATGTGCTTAAAATAAAGAATAAATCTGTATAGTAAATAAGGCAATAAAAATTATATAATTTTCATTATATTATTCATTTTCCTATTTATTTATTCAATTTATTTAAACTTTTTTTCTTCATATATTGTCAAAAAGTTACTTTTCTTTATCTTTTATTTAATTTCTCCGAAATGTTATTTAAGTGCACATTTAACTTTTACCTTAGTTTTTCTAATTACAATTTAATTACATAATATTTCGATGAAGTAAAGTGATTGTATTTTTTTTAAATGTTTACTTTTCAAATCATAATTGTGAGGTTCATTAAAAACTCGTCGAGTTTTCTATGCACGTAATAATTTTTCGTAACCCGATTTGTATTTTTCCTGGAATAATGCCAAGGTATTTTTTCGTGTAAACATTGATTTGTAAACAGTTTCAAACTGAAAGAAAAAGGTAAAAATAGGACAATTAAACGGGCAGCGTCTTTTTTTAATTCGAATGAAATAAAAGTGGCTAGAAAATTTGCACGAAACTGTATTTTTTATAATTTTTTTTTACTATATTTAGATTCTTAAAGAAATGATTTGATTAAATAAGAAAAAAAAAACACGTTACGAATAAATGAAAAATGTTTTTCTTACACTTTAATTATTGTGAAACATTTTAAAAATGAGAAACTTTTAATTAACTTTTCTTTCTGATTGATTTTTTTAAATTTAATATATATTAAATTTATAAGATTTTTGTATTATTGTACATGTAAAATTGACTATTTAAAATTTCATACATGTTTGGAAATCAAATGTTTAATTACATTTTTTGTTTGTTTCAGGTGAGTTAACGCAAGATGAATCAGAATTGGAGTTGGTAAAGTATTGTAGTTTATTTGTCATTAAAATATGTTCATTACCGGTGGCAATCAAAATTCCGACAACCATAATCCCGACATTATCAAAATCCCGACTGTATCAAAAGAGTATATATTTCTTACGTACGTACATATATCTTACCACCTATTTTTGAGACCATCTTTAGGTTCATTTTACGACTTATCACTTTAACGTCCCTTTTAGAAGTTGTTAAATGAAAAAATTAAAAATCACAGCATTTTTATTAATTTTATCCATGTTTTTATAAAAAAACAAATGTTTCTATCTTTATATTTCTGGAATCTAATGGTTTCATAAAACGAGGCCTAGCTGTTAAATATTTATCATTTCAAATGGATTAGGTATATGGATCTTTGCGAATTTTTCATGATGATAAATGTTTACGTGGATGTTTTTTTTGCTG